GGCGAGGGCCGCGGGACCGGAACCTGCGGGGACGGCCTCCCTCTCGGCCCGACGTGCGCACAAGTGCACCTCTCTCTTCCCCGGGCCCCGTTCGGCAGCCGCTCTCGCAGAAATGTCCTCCAGATGTTCGCAGCCTCCCTCCCCGCCGAGGGTTCCGCAGGGAGCCGCGCCAGCGAGCGCAAAGTCAGCAGTTGGCCCCAGCCCATTTCCCAGATGGGTGAGGGGAAGTTTTCCCTCCGCTCGCTCTCGTTCCTCTTCTCCAACTAAGCTTCTGGGTCTTTTCCCACGAGAAGCTCAGAGAAGGCAAGGCGCGTTGCTTCCCAGTAACACAGCCTCCCGATCACTCCTGGGAATCAGTGCTGCTTCCAGCCACCCCACCCCACCTCACCCAGCCTTCCTGGACCCTTCCTGTGAGGTCAGTTCCCTGCTCCTGGCTCCTAGGCCGCTGGGATGTTCACAGAATTCCAGTCTACTGTTGAGGAAACTGAGGCAGTCTACTGTTGAGGAAACTGGACAGGCTACTGTTGAGGAAACTGAGGCACAGAGCAATTTTTTTTTTTTTAAAGGCCACACGCTTATGGGTGGCGGAGGTGATAGTTAACTCAGCCCCTCTAGTTTGGGTAGGCATTGTTGTCATTTGAGTAACAAGAGGAAATCTAGGTGTAGAAAGCTTAAAAGTAATTTACCTACAGTATATAGCCAGCAGGTGCCAACCCTGAGATCTGGAGGCAGGAAGTCTCTTGCCAGAGTCTATGCACGTCCCATGCAATACTGCCTCTGAAATTCAGCCATCGTTCGAGAAATATTTATGACATTCACTGTGTGCCGGGCCCTGTTCTAGGCTCTGTGGACGCAGCAGTGAACAAAACAAACTAATAAACAAAGCCCTTGCCCTTAATGGAACTTACACAGGGGGTGGGTAGGTGCATGGGAAAGGCCATAAACCAAGTAATTTATGTATTACGATAAAAGAGAAGTGCCATGGCAGAAAATAAAGCAGGGAGGTAGAATATGGAGTGCCTGGGTTGGGACTGCTGAAACTTGAAATAGGGTGACAGCAACACAGCTTGTTGCTGTGTTACTGAGGCCTTTAAGCAAACACTTGCAAGATGGGAGGAAAATTAAAATTACATCCTTCTGGACTCCACCTCTACCAAATCACCCTCCGGGGGTGGGGCCCTGGCACATGTGTTTTTAATAAACCTCACAGGTGGGGCGCCTGGGTGGCTCAGTAGGTGGAGCATCCGACTCTTGGTTTCGGCTAAGGTCATGATCTCATGGGTTCATGGGTTCGAGACCCGCGTCCTGCTCTGCTGACAGCTCGGGACCTGCTTGGGATTTACTCGCTCTCCCTCTCTCTCTGCCCCTCCTCTGCTCTCTCTCTCTCTCTCAAAATAAATAAACTAAAAAAAAAAAAAAAAAAAAAAAAAAAAAAAAAAAAAAAAGAGTAGTATAATAAACCTCACAGGTGATTCAGGTGTTCAGCAAGGTCTGGAAGCCACCATTCTAGAGCTTCTTTCTGCCCAGAGCGAGCACCAGGCAACTTTTGCTTTCAGCAAGGCAAGGAAGAAGTGAGAGTAAAGGTTTGAAAACTGGCTTTAAGGTGGTGGCAGTGTAGCTATGAGCTCACACAAAGCAGGGAAGTAGGTTATGGATTTTGGAAAAATCCAAAGAGTAAGCCCTTCTTCCTCATCTAGTACCAAGGAAGAAGAAAACAAAGGATTCATCGGAGCCTATATTTCATCTGTCTCAGATTTTGGCAATGGATGTTTCTTCAGGTTAAAATCTAACAGGGTATTTTCATTGAGAATCAGATCTTAGGGTAATCTCTAAGAGCAATTACAAGGGAGGAGACAGGTCCAGAGGGCTCTGCCTGGCCACACAGGTAGTTATCAGCAGAGCCAGGATAAGACCTCAAATCTTCTGACATGCAAGCAGTGCTGTTGCTGTCACAAGGCATGTGAACACACGGCCCTACCCAGTAAACATGTGTGGATGACCGGTTGAATTGAGTAATTTATTGGGTATTGAAGAAATGCTTGCAATCCACTTTTAGGGGGTGCCACTTCCACTCTCAAGTCCTCACGTTTTAGCAGTGGTCATCTTGACCTTATGCCCAGCATGATATCGGGGCTCTTGCTCACTTTCAGGACCATGAGACCATCTCTCTGGGGGTTCCAGCTGATCAGGACCAGGGACCTGGCCAGTGGTGTTGACTTGGGGATCTTACATGAAGAATCAATGAAGACTCAACTTGCTTGCCCCATTAGGCTGGGAATTGGAGGGATATCTTCCTCGGTTAGCCTAGGAGAATGGCTGGTACCCAGTAATATGTGCAGAAGAAAAGTACTCTTGTAAGATCTGGTATCACAAAGGCACCTGGTGGGGGCACCTGGGTGGCTCAGTTGGTTAAGCCTCCGACTCTTGGACTCTTGATATCTCATGGTTTGTGAGTTTGACCCCACATCGTTGGGCTTTGTGCTGACAGCATGTGGCCTGCTTGGGATTCTGTCTCTCCCTCTCTCTGCCCCTCCCACATGTGCACTCTTTGTCGCTGTCTCAAAATAAGTAAATAAACTTAAAAAAAAAAAAAAAAGGAACTGGCTCTGCTGCTTAGCACTCAGATGATTTCCCTCAAGCCACATCTTTGCACCTTAGTATCTATCCTCAATTGTTGAATGCAGATATCACTGGTGCTCACTTTGTGGGGCTTTTGGAGAGATTACTTATGCTTTTGAATGTTATTACTACTAAGGTATTTGACATCTTCGTTCAGCCTCTTCGTAAAGTTCTTGAAGGCAGAGATTATATATATTGCATTTTCTATTAGAAACTGTTTGCACCTGACACCCCCCCCCACTCCCCCACCTGTAAGCCTGTTTTCTTTACTGTCCAATGGAAACAATACTACTCATCTTGTTTTTCCACATACGGTTATTATGCCCTTCATGTGAGCTAATAACTGTGAAGGTTGTTTGTACATTGCAAGGGCTATATAGGAAGCTAAATAGGAAGGATCAATTTAATTACTACTATTAACTAATGCTTTGCACGTAATATTTAAATTAAAAAATATTTTAATGTTTCTTTTTGAGACAGAGCACAAGTGGGGGAGGGGCAGAGGGAGAGGGAGACACAAAATCCAAAGCAGGCTCCAGGCTGTCAGCACAGAGCCCGATGCAGACCTCGAACTCACAAACCGTGAGAGAAAGGGCCTGAGCCAAAGTCGGACGCTCAACCGACTAGGCCACCCGGACAACCCTGCACTAAATAATATTTAAACAGATCTACAAGTGTAGACAGTTCCTAAAGACTAACATTTTTTCACTGTCCCACAGGAGCAGCCTTAGCGGGATTTAATATCTGGAGGTTTCTTCCAGAACTGTCAAGCGAGGAAGTTTTGGGAAGTTTTGGTTTAAATTCAAAGGGGGCACACGGAATCCAGGAATGATGCCACGGATCCTTTAAATATTGAGATGAAGGGGCGGAGCCATCGTCAGGGACGCGACTGGGCCGCTTGGTTTCCAGGAAGTGACGTCAGGCGGCCGCGGAGATGGAGGACGTGCTGGACTTAGGCGAGGAGCGACGCCGCGGCTCGGCCACCTCCGTGAGGATTGACTTGGGGATTTGGGGCTAGGATTTGGCGGGTGGGGAGGAGCGACCTAGCCGGCTCGGCGTCCCTGTGGCGCCTCGGCCTGGCCTGTCCCCAGCGGCCGGGCCCAGAGCCGCGCCGGGGTGAGGCCGAGGAAGAGGCGGCCTCAGCTGCCCCGCCCCCGGCCTGGGGTGTGCTTTCTTTAAAATTCTCCAAAAGCAGAAAACAGATCCTGCGCCTGCAGGCCTCCGGAACCGGTGGGAAATTTCCCAGCCAGTCTGCGCTTTCTGGAGCCCTGAGTGCTAACTCCCCTAGAAAGGACATATCTGAAGGGTGATTGGGGCGGGGTG